AAGGATTGTTGGATGAAACCCATAAGGGTACCCGCCATGCCTCTACATTGATAAGTTCGGATATACCTACAAACAGTTAAGAAGATCCAGGAGACATCAATATTTGAGAACGTAGTAGTCGATGGTTGGTAATTAGTCTATCAGGTATCAGAAAAGGGTCAAAGGTGATATGGCAGAAGAACAATTTGGATGCTCCCCATCTCGAGGAAGCACTAAAGATGATCATCGGCAATTAAACCCTAGTGGCATAGATACAGATAGCAAGCAATGTATTTCCCTGAAGGTAGTCAGTGCAGCTTTTTGACAAACCACATCAAGGTTTCACTGAAAGGCAGCAAGCCAAAGGACCTCATCGTCCCCAGAAGCGTCCGCAATCCACATTAAAGAATACCACCTGTTAGAGATAAGCCGAAAGAAGATTGATAAAAGAGATTGGCAAAGATGTTCTCTAGCATGAAAGAAGTAGGCCGAAAGGTGATTGATAAACAGAAACATGCTCTGCATCGCTCAAGGAAGACCCCTGATTGTAATTGCCCCGCAACAGTCACCTTGTCATTAAGTAAGCAAGATGACCTAGGTAAAAGTGTTTCTATGAAGGCAAAGAGTGAAATCTTCAACTCGGTATCAGATGCTACACGGAGTGAAAAGTGCAAGCACCGGTTACCAGGCAATGCCATGTCTTGGGAGATGATCCAATGGGAAAGAACACATCAAGGTTAAAGGTGTAAAGGAATACGTTGAATGCTAACTAAGGACAACCTGAAGAGAATAGTGGAAAGTAAACTGAACATAAAGAAAGTGAATCCGAGTTGTCTGTTCGTGGGAACTATTCCCAGTTATGAACCAAGTGATATGTTCGAAGATAGTCTACAGAGGTCAGATTAAAATCACATCTAACAACGAAGCTTCAAATTTGGCAGGATAATGATTAGACAATAACAAATCCAGCAATAAAGCCATTTGGGAAGACGTCAAAGTATCGCAAGTGGGATAAGTTGGTTCTCTTGGGAAGCATAATTCAAAGGCAAAGTTACCGACCCTTGCATCGAATAGCAGAAGTAGCTAGCACCCGGAGAGCAGGAAAGCTAATATGAGGCAGTTGGTGGCAAGTTAGAAGTAAATGACAAGCATGGTATTCTCATGATGACAAGCATGGTATCTTAGTAATGACAAGCTAGTGTTGACGCATGACATGAAGTGGTAACTTGTATGAGGGTGACTCCAAAGATATGAGTTATAAGAAGTTCTGGAACTGAAGCCCCATCTTCCAATGCCGCAGCCAGTCGAAATCAGCTAGAGGTGCAACCAGGGAAAAGTCATGTGAAGAGAAGATTCCATCCGCAACAGGAGGTCAAGCCAAGCAGTTCCGAGTGGTGAAGTTTTGCTGAAAGTTTGTGAAGACGGAGCGGAAGAAGTCAAACAAGAAGAGAAGACCGCCCAACCTATCTTCTTGCTAGCCTCCTTGAATCTCGGGGACGAGATTCTTGTAAGGGGGGTGGATTTGTCACGTCCTGATAAATTCATCCCGAAATAAAAATCATTTTCTAAAAGGAATAATAGAATTAATTAAAATTCGAAAAGAAATTGGCAAACACTAAAATACGTACAAGAAAAATTCAAATGTGGCCCGGAGAATTTTTGTTAAATTCTCCTTGGTCTAAAAAGAGCCCTCAAATTTTAGTGGAATTTTCAGAGCACAAATAATAATTCTTAAGAAATAAACAAAGTTAAAATGATTTTATAAAAAGAAAAGCCCTAAAAAGTCCTTTTCCCCCCCTTCCCCTCTTGGGCCGGCTCGGCCCAGCTCTCTCTCTCTCTCTCTCCTCTCCCCCGCGGCCTATCGGCCTCCTCCCCGCGCGCGCGCCGCTGACGGGCGGGCCCGCCCGCCACCCTCGCTGACGGGTGGGGCCCACCCGTCATCCCCTACCTCGCGCCGCGCCCGCCGTCTCGCCCGTGCCCTAGCGCCGCCGCCGCCGCCGATTCCGCCGCATCCCGCCGCTCCCGCGCGCAATAAAGAGGGGGAAATCACTCCCCGTGATTCCCTCCCTCTTTCCCCCCACTTTTCCCTCTCTCTCTCCCTCGGATTCGTTTGGAATCCTCCCGCAAACCTCGCCGGCGTCTTTGATGGAGCCCGAGATCGCCGCGCCGGTTTCCTTCCGCTCCGGCCGCCCTCTCTCCCTCCCAACGCTATATAAACGTTCCCCGTGCCTCCCTCCTCCGTTTCCGCCGTTCGCCGCTCGCTCTCCCCGTCGGAATCGAGCTCGTGCCGTCGTCCTCTCTCTCCGCCGTCGCCGCCAAGTTTCGGTCCGCCGCCGTCGTCGCCCCGGACCTCCTCCCGCTTCGGCATCGCCTCCTTCGGCTTCGCCGCGTCCCCGTCGACCTCGTCCATATGGAGTTTATTAGAGTAAAAGCCTTTTCTTTTCCGTTGGTCGTGTAGACGCTGCAGCTTCGGAGGATCCGCTCTTCGTGGAAGTTGAAGCCGGCGTTTTGGGAAAGCGAGCAAGGCAAGTCACATCATCCTTGAACATATTGAATCCCAGTTTATAAAATTATTTTGATTTAAATTATTGCATTATCGCTTTATTTAAATTCCCGCGTTATCACTGTTTTATTTAGCCATGCCTATTTACCTTTGTTATGACCTTATTATTATTGCTATTGTTATTATTACCTTGTTCACCCTAGAATAAACAAAACCCCAACTAGTGGACACTCTATTCCTGGTTCCACTAGTATGAATTTAGGTAGATGCTTCACTGATTAATAGGACAACATTAGGTGGTTTTTATAACTTTAGACTTTGGGAATATTCATATCATTTGGACACTATGGAATGGTTGGCTTATGTTGGAATTGGACACACACCTCCCCCTCTATTCAAAACCCCCAAAATGGTTTTAGGCTGGGCTCGAGGTGCGTGGTTGGGTTTTGCTAGTCGTACCTCGGGTACTATAAGGATTAAGCTCGGGCCTCTGTTGCAAAGCACTACCGTACTTCCACATGTCTAGTGGGTAAGGCTTAGTTTGTAGCTCAGACTGGTTATAAACAAAAGTACACGGATGGAGATGGACGAAGTCGGGGGTCGATGGACATCTCTTGGACAAATGAAGGCTACACGAGCTGCGGCCCGGTAGTCGAGATGTCATGGCACAGGGCTGGTGTCCTGCTGCTAGGGGGCTCAATCCTGCCTGCCTGTCCCGGGGGTTCCGGCCGTAGGTGGGGTTGGGTCGGTACTCTTGTTTATGGCTAGGATGGGTTGGGAACTATGTCACGTCTTCCGTCCGTATACCGTGGTGGTATGTGGCACGTGGTTACACGTGAGGAAGATGTGTCTTGTGGGTAAAGATGTACACCTCTGATCAGAGTATAATCTATTCGAATAGCCGCGCCCTCGGTTATGGGCAAGCCGAGCAATGTACCCAAGTTAGTGTTTTAATTCTTAAAACCTGCTTAACAACTAAAATGTGGAATGGTTGGCCTGGGTTGGCTTGGGACGAGCTGGGACCCAGGGTCGGGATGCCAGTTCGGTCTGAATCATCGTAGGCCTTGGGTTAAGGCAGGTTCGTGTGGGTTCACGGCCTTGATTAATAATACTGTGTAACTCTAGGATCGTCTCTATAAAATGGCTTTGGGCAACTAAGTGACTTTTAAATGCTGTTTTCTGCAAAACTTAACCCCTATATTATTATCCCCTTGTACCCCCTTGCATTAATCATGCATCTGCCGGTGTGACTCGCTGAGTACTGTGGTTGTACTCATTCTTGCTCTATCTTTCTCCCCCCTTCAGTAAGAGAAGCTTTGGAGAAGATGTCTTAGGTGGAGTCCTGGCTTATACCCCAGTTGAGCGCCTGTGAAGATAGAGCCGTAGGCCCGCTAGTCCGCTGCTGTTTATTTTTGATTGTCAGGCCTGAAGCGCCTTTGTAATAATGTAAATATTATCGATATAATAAAGATGTGTCTTTTATATCATGTTTGTGTGGTGTACCCCGGCTTTTCCTGGGACGGGGATTAATACACTAGCGTTCGGGAAAAGGCAATTTTCCCGGTCGCGACACGACTCCATCCCACAAGCAGCTTAATCAGGGCTACGCCTAATCCTCCACACCTTCAGCATCACTGTAGAACTCCTCCTCTGATAAATGATTGCAAGGTGAGTATATGACATACTCAACAAGCCACGCAGCAAATATGCAAGTGCAAGGGATAACAAAGGATGGCATAATAGAGTCTCATTTGCATAAATGGCATTTAATAAATACTTCAGAATTTAATAAAACAGTAAAGTATTTAATTAATCAATATTAATCCATCGCTATACAACAGACCCGTTGCATAGGCCCAACCATCCTGAACAACCAATCCCGACTGCACAGTTCTATCTCCAAACCATGAACATACCATTCTAAACCAGGAGCTAACAAGTTATTACCAATTACATCATCATTTATTACGGTGAGAGGTGTGAAACTAATCACGAAAGACATTGTTAGACCCGCCCATAACCGCGGGCACGGCTATTCGAATAGTTTTACTCTGGCCAGAGGTGTACCACTGTACCCACAAGATACAACCTCAACATCATGTCAACCATGCGTCGCGATACTTAACAAGTACCCGAATAGAGATTGTGACAATACCCTCTGCATAACACAATTCAAAGCAGCGCACAGTTCCTGGATCATAATCACCCCCTTATAAACAAGGCATGGACTCCCCAGTGACCCCCGTGGGCATATCTCCGCCACTTCACAGTCTGGTGCTCTACAATGAACCATACTATACAAAAAGTAAAGCCGTTGCCCACGCTGGCTTGTGGTTGGCACGGTTAATGTTTCACAACCGAAAATCGTGAACCGGTCCTTAATTGTCATGAGCACGACCATCAAAACCATGTGCTCACAACCCACCATTATCAAGTTTTAGTTGGCAAATTAATTATTTAACCAGTCACGATTAACCATCGTGAGCTATCATTAAGCCATCATTAAATAATAGTGAATCATAAGTTATCCCATTTATATGAGCTAGTGTCTCTAAGCATGGCTAAGCATCCTAAGCACTTTAGCTAAAACCATATAATGTTCTAGCTAATCCAATTATTAACCAGGTGACAAAGTATAAGTAATCAATATCAGAGGACTATAACAAAGGCAATAGGTTATTCCCACCTAATGACATTCAAAATAAATGCAATAGTTGAATAGAAACAATAGCTTTAAATGGGATCAACATGCTCAAAGGGTTGTTTGGGATCTGTGTGACTTGCCTTGATGGCCTTGGAACTCTTCAGAGTCTTCTCCTGCAAATTCGGACTCTCCGGCAACGTCGGAATCTAAGTAGAAAAGAGCAAAAACACCAAAACAGCACATAAACAATCATGAACAGTACATGAGGATATTTTTAACATGTAGATCTCAATTTTAGAAAAAATTAGAGACTTGAACCAACTAAATCCGAGCTAAGATGAATTAGTTATGAATTTTTAAAGATTAAATCGGATTAAATCATTTATATAGATTTTAATTGAATTATGACGCAATAAAGAATTATTTTTGAAAAGGAAAAAGGATTTATTGCGTTAGCGGGCTCGGGTTCACGGTGGACCGGGTGCACGGGGACGGTCTACGGAACGGACGGCCGAGATCTAATCTAATCCAAAACGAACGGCTGAGATCTAATCGATCCACCGCGGGTCTACAGGTGACGCAACGCTGACGTCAGCGATGATGTCATCACCGGCGGCGGCTCGGGACCACGTGCTCGCCGGCGAACGACGGCGCGGCGGCGCAAACGGAGGACACCAACGGGTAGCGGGCGACGCGGCGAACTCACCGAGGGCTTAAACGACGGCGAACGGCAACGGACGGCGACGGCGGCGAGGTCGAAGTGGCGGCGACGTTCGGGTCGACGACGACGGCGGTGCTCCGGCGATCCTCAGTGGAAACGAAGGACGGGACGAGGACGGCGACGACTTGGCTATCCCGATGGCGGCCTTCCCAATCGACGACGATGACCGGAGCGGCGGTGGCGCACGGCTGGGCTCCCTTCGGCGGTGGCGGTGCACGGGCTAAAGTGGAGGCGGCGCTACAGGCGGTGGCGAGCTAAAGCGAGGGTTGCGGCGGATAGAGGAGGTCCCGGGGGTCTTTATATAGGGGCTAGGGGCGGCGACGGAGGCCCACGGTGGCCAGCGGCGGTGATGGAAAGTTTTGGCTAAGAGGAGAGAGATCGATCCGAATCGAACTCAAATCCACCGATTTCCAAAGGAAATTAGCCGACGATTCCAAAAGAGAAAAGGAAGAGGGGATCCCGGGGATCATTTCCCCTCTATTGATTTGATCGGATCGGGAAAGGGGCGGGCGAATTTTGGAAGGGGGCGGCGGCGGCTTGCGCGGCTAGGGCGCGGCTGCGGCGGCGCGAGGTGGACGACGACCCTGACAGATGGGCCCCACCTGTCAGCGGGAGAGAGAGGGGGAGAGCGGCGGCTCGGCTCGGCGGGCTGACTGGGCCGAGGCGCGCTTGGGCCGGGGAGAGAGAGAGGTTTTTGGGCCGACTTTCGGCCCAAAGCCAAAAGAGGACTTTTAAAACCTTTTTCATTTTAAATTATTCATGAAATGATATTTCATTGATTAAAAATACTTCCTTGGCTCAAATAAATCCCAGAAAAATATAGGAACTATAGAATCAAGAGAAGTATTTAATAAAATTTTATCTAGCCCACTTTTATATTGGAATTTATTATTTAAAATTAGATCTTTTCTTCAAGGCTTTTAAAATCATTTCTAATAATTCCATTTAAACAACAATTTATAAATTTAGGATTTTTAGGGTGTGACAGTGCCCTAGCCACAAGTGATGAATTCAAGGATCTTCGAGAGTGGAACAGTGCTATGCCATAATGTATTAACTAGATGGCGTATTTGAAGTGACAATGTAAAAAAATATTGTAATATATATATTTTGGCAACACTTTTGAGTAATGTAATATATGTACATTTATCAGTACTAAATGCTTGATAATCTTCCAATATATGTACATAATAATCTACCTGCAAGAATTTCTATTATTTAATTTAAAAGTAATTTACGGGCAAATTATTATTAAATTTTAATATTTTCTACCTATCTTCGCAGGCGGAAGTTTTTTTTTTTTTGCAGGCGGCCGATTCCTATTTTCGCAGGCGGACCGGACTAGCCAACGTCTGCCTGCGAAAATTATCTTCGCAGGCGGACGGCCACCCCGCCTGCGAAGATCGGCGATCTTCACAGTCGTTGGCTTACAGGCGGATGGCCGCCCCGCCTGCGAAGACCCTTTTCGGCCGCTTGCGATAATGCTTTTCCTAGTAGTGTAATTAAGCTTAGATTTGTAAAAATGTAAACACCGATCCAGTTCAAGGAGGCGGCAAACATAGCGAAAGATTTGTTCTAGAGTCAATACGCCATTTCTCAGCAGTTAGATAGGTATACAGTCTAAAAAAAGCCAATGAGGATTGATCGATCTCCTGCCAATCCCAGAAAGGGGCAGAGAAATCAATCACCAATTCACCATTAATTCTAACGCAAATGAAGTCCTATATATGGTGTGTGCAATTATATATCCTATAAAAATCTTATATATTCTAAAAACATAAAGATTTGATCCATGAGAAAGGAGCCATTTTTAATATTTTTATGACTATATGATTAGAAAATAATAATCAAACATGCAAGTTGAAGTTTGTATCGATGTCCTAAACAAATACTCCATCCAGTCTAATATATTTGACGTAAGGAGAACTAAACTCATATCTCCCAGCGTCAAATATACTTGACTAGAGGTGGTAAAAAAGGATGGGTTGCACGCATAGTAGCCAGGGTTTCAAATTTCGGAAAGAACCAAAATTTCGGAGGGGAGCGGAAGAACCGAAATTTTGAAAATTTTGGATTTTTTCGTACGAATTTTTTTTTGAAATTTTGACTGATTTTAAATGGATTTGAATAAAATTTGACCAAATTCACAAAAAAATACAAAAAACCGAAAGTTTCGGGCGACATATGAGCATTTCGGTGGAGGGCGAAATTTCGGAAATTTCGTTCCGAAATTTCAAACCCATTAGTAGCTTGTTTGAAAGTGTCAACTAACTGAACTAGGGGGCATGCTGTTACACACTAATTAATGTAATCCAAAAACACACCATGCCATGATTGCTGCAGGTTGAGTACGTTAGCGTATCTGCTCCCTCCGTGCCAAAAAAAAAAATAAACCCTAATTTCCGTGTCCAACTTTTGACCGTCCATCTTATTTGAAAAAATTATAAAAAAATTAAAAAGACAAGTTATGCATAAAATATTAATCATGTTTTATCATCTAACAACAATAAAAATTCAAATTATAAAAAAATTTCATATAAGACGGACAGTCAAAGTTGGACACGGAAATATAGAGTTTGCCTTTTTTTTTGACGGAGGGAGTAAGAAGGAATCGTGACAAAGCATTTCCTGCAGAATTTCTTTCTCCGGTCCTAGCATGTTCATTTTTAGTAAATCATGGTTTTAACTAGGTTTAGCGTAAATAAAGAGATAAACAGGCATATTACATACCCCGTAATATGGTGCATGATACGACAACCGGTGTCTCAGCGAGACGGCCATAATAGAATAGCTCAGCGAAGAAGCGAAGCACCGGGGCATCAATACAACCCCTCCTGCGAGCCAGGAAGTTGACATGGGACCAAATTTGACCTCCGAAAGAAGCAAAATATGCACTCAAAGGCCTAACGCAATCGAACTCAGCACCCTGAAAAATATGCACGTAGATGAATCGTGCACTAAGAATTAAAAATGCCTTCGAATCAAAGAGAACCATGTGCGCAAAATAAATTAAATTATATTCATCCCCTCCACAGAAAGCTAAATATCGACATGTCACAATGTGTGTGGTCCGTCATATATAATCATATATAGTAGCCATATATAAAAATTGCACAAACACTAACTTTCACACTGTTGCACTTTTTCCCAAAATATGATGCAAAAATTTAATAGTTATATAATCATATATATTTGTAGCTTTAGGGTCTATTTAGCACAACTTCAGCTCCAGCTCCACCCCTCCTAGAGCTAGAGCTCAACTAAACAGTTTCAGCTCCATCAAAACTAGGAGTGGAGTTGGGTGGAGCTCTCTCACAAAATGTACTAGAGTTGTGGAGCTGGGTTTAGTCAGCTCCACAACTTCACTCCAGACTTAACTCCTGGAGTAATATTTAGTAGTTGGAGCTGTACCAAACAGACCCTTAAATAATAAATAAATTTTGGGGATATAGAGGAGCAATACAAGTAATTTGAAAAAAAAAACTCGGCCGGTGGAGAAAAGAGAGAGACCGTCCACACGGTATTTCATTAAGAAGAGCTCAACCGGAGCCAGGCCAAGAAATATCACGAAAGAATAACGATACAAGTAAATTTAACATACCGGATGATTGAAGTTGTAATAATTGAGGGCGATGCGGACATGCGGGCGAGCAATGCAGTCACTTATCTCTCTGCATGTGATTTATGTATGTCAGAACTGCAAGAGAAACCATCCACACACAACTATGCTTAAATAAATACACTATTATAATTAAATATTTGTGTTTTATTAGGAATGTAAAATTTGGTGTAGTATCAAAATTTCAGTACGCCTTGTTTTTAAACATCACTATTCAATGATCTCTGACAGAACATCGACAGACAATTTATAGCTGCAAAGGAATGACAAATTCTGGTCAAACACACCAATAGATTGACAGTCTTGGGTATATATATGCTAATCCGTTCGTAACCCTGAAGATTTCACTTAACTATATATATGTACTATGAAACAAACTGATCTTGATATCTTACAGAACTGCTGCAGACCACGAGATGGAAACCAAATCATATATATGTAGATAAAGTAAATTTAATCCCAGCATTAGATTAGGAAAAAGTACAAATTACCCTCCGAACTATCAAGGTCGATTGAATTACACCTCCAAACTTGAAAACCAGACATTCTACACCCCTAACTATTGAAACCAGACAAATAACCCCCCGACTCAATCTGGAGTGGTTTTGGGTCCACGTGGCAGTCCAGTCAGCACTTTTTTAAATAAAAAAAATCAGTGGGTCCCTTCTGTCTTCTCCACCACTCTCTATCTCTCTCTACTCTATCCCAATCTCTCCCCCCCCCTCTCTCTCTCTTCTCACCTGCACGGCGGCGGCCACGCGAGGGCGGGAGCAGGCGGCACTGACGGCAGCGGAGGGCGGCGGGCGGCTGAGACGGAGGCGGAGTGGGTTGCCGGCAGCTTCGCCGTGGTGTGGGCTAGCAACCACCTCCTCGGCGACGGCCACATCACGGTGGTGCTCCTCCGGTCGTGGTCGGAATTCGCGCGCACGGGGACGTTCGCCGGAGGCCTGAACCTTGACCGGTCGGTGCTGAGCCGTCCCCACTCCCCACCGAGGTACAGCGCCGCCGTCGACGGGATGTTCGTGCCGTGGGACCACGAGCACGAGTTGAACCCGCTCACGGCGAGCCGCGGAGGCGAGCTTCGTCGAGCAGCTCTACTACGTCGAGGCCGCCGACATCGCCATGCTGCGCGAGGAGGCGCGCACAGCGCGCGACGAGCGGCTCTACTCTTTCTTGTTCTTAGCTAATTTTGCTTTCAGTTTTTTTGGTGGAGGATTTTGGGTTGGAAAGACAAGGTCGGGATCTCTTTTAAAGTTTGTTTTTCTTTTCTTTTCCCTCTTGATCGGTGGATCGATCTACTATCAGTACTAGTAATATGTCCGTGCTAAACGCTACGGTGTAATTATATTTGTCTTTAATAAAACTTTAAAATTATTAAGCTTTAAAATGGATTCAGATGTCGCGAATAGAAAAATTATATAAAGGCATGTCACGAATTCGAATGTTCCCTTAGGTCATTTCCATTCATTTTTCTTGTCTTATGCACTTAAAACATATTGATTTTTCTATTTGTTATATCTCTGGAGGCAAAGCGACCTTCATTAGCAGAAGCATTTTGATCCATATCTAACAGACAAAATATAAACAAACATTAGTTGAAACCAATTCACAATGTTGCGATCTTATATTGAAATTATGGAAATCATATACATCATTTTGATATCTCAATAGCAGCATGAAAACATATACATCATTTTGATTTCTCAATCGCACCATGCCAATTTGGAAAACATAGTGGAATATTGAAAGTAATAAACTCTATGGTTTAAAATTTAGACCATAACTTGTTGATCCTCAAGCATTGATAAACTTCGAGAGCATTGATTGTGTTATGCAGTATACAATAATACATTTGCCCTTCAAGTACACAGCGGATAAGACCGAACAAAAACCCTCAAGGGTGGAAGGACTATTTAGCCAGGCATTGCATCTCTGGCAGTTTCTAAAAGTTGAGACTTGAGAAGAATAAAATGTCTCTCACCCACTTTCTTCTCGATTGGTTTGTTTCCTTCTAATGGAGCAAAGCTATATCTTTACTACAAGAAGCACTTTGCCCTTGTTCTGCACATGTGAAAAAATTAGCTATTCATGCACATTTAGCTATTCATGTGAAAAACAAATTATACGGAATCCAAACTGGGTACATCATGTCAATGACCTATATAACCAACCGTTCAAATCTTACCAAACTCTTTTGCTGAGCAGTAGAGCAATGAAAATACTCCACGAATCACCTGTCCAGGATAATCAAAGGAATTCTGCTCATGGCAAAGAAGACAAAAGAGTCTTATACTGAAGCATTATATGTATTGACCCCTCCTAAAACTGTAGCACTTTAGAGATAGCTCAATGTTGTTCATATGTGTTTCTGTTGGTGACCTAATTTAATTTTAGACTGTCTGAAAATGAAAATCTAATCCTGGTCACTGTTAGGGTATAGAGATGTCTGAACGCAGATGTTCCATGATATGCAATCTCCTACAATAAAGAAAATGATTTACTCTGTAATATATGAAACCAACTTTTCTGCTACATCTAGGAGTCTAGCTTGGTTAGATGGAGACTGTAAAAGAGCTCTTCAGTAACAAGCGCTGATCCAATTCATAGTGCAGTTATATTCAGACCGTCTTTATAGTGGCATATACCTTTTTTCATCAATAATATCCCAGGCTATGGTCATCCCAGCATGTAAGTATAATGCATACTCGAGTTTAGACAGATTCATAGCACTATGCTGTTAAAAGAGAAACTCTCATGGGTCTCTGTGAAAGATATTGCAGACAACGTGATCTAGAAAAACGATACGTCTGTATATATATTTTCAGAATTAATTCTTGGCATTTAATACTCAATTGCAGCAGAAAATAGCCAAATGACTGCCCTAACAGTCCACTAATTATTGCATGTGGGTTGAAAACAAAACTGACAAATGAATTGAGGGTCCATATCCAGTCATTAACCGAAACTTACATGCCTTACGGGGGACAAACATGATCATGGTACATTGCTCCACCTTCATGTAGTTGTTATCCATGTTTTCTTCATGCCTATTTTCATCAGATACATCAGATACTGGTTATAATGGGTTGCATGGCTGTTTTTCCGAGATTACAAGTTGACATTTCCGCCAACAGTGTGCAGAGCTGATCTAACTCAATGGCACTGCAGCACTTCATTAGCACGTACTGCTTGTTAATTTTGTTAATAATACTACAACAATTCAGACCCTTATAAATGGTTATACTGCTTTCTGAGCCTGTATTTTTGTACTGTCTGAAATATGAAGCTGGACTCATGAGAAATGAAATTGGAAACGTGCAGTGCATATTTATGTTGAATCCTGGAAATGCTGGCCTCATGATCAAAGAAGTAAAATAGCAGGGCTACGCCACACACTCCATGACCATCTAACATAGAAACTCAATCATGCATGATATTCCATCCAGACCAATCTGAATTACATTTGTTGAATCGTCAACCCAATTGAGACCATATGAATCCTTGCAAACAAGCGCATTTATCATCGACCTAATATACTTCAGGTGTCAAAGTTAACCAAATTCCTCAACTCAACTGAGACCACAAAGAATCCTTACACCCAAGTGCATGTATTGTCGATCTAATATACTGCAGTGTGAAGATTAACCAAATCAACACCAGTTCATGTGCATACAGGTACATATAAAAGGTGGGTTTTATAATTCGGGCTGTAATGAAAATCGTACTGATGTTTAGAGGCACACTTATCAGTTAAGAAAATAGCTCAAATTGTTGCGATAGATTCAAATGATATAATTACATGTCCTGCCCTATCAAATTCTTAGAAAAAATTGTTCCACCTCCATCAATTCACCACTGACCGAAACTTTTGAAAGTGAAGTGTGATAGTGGAATAGTTCTGTTTGACTTTTTTGCGTGGCATAGGCTCAGCATATTTGGTTCTTTTTAAATGGACAACAATTATCAGGAAAGCATCATTCCCAATCAGCATTATGCTATATAGTCATGCATCTGAAATAAAAGAAAAGAAGACCTCTATGGTACTGATATATGGTATAAATAGGCATGTAATACCTCTAATAACCATTAGAACAAAACAGGCCATGGACACTGTAACTGGCAAATAGACCTAGCACATTCCATTCATAACACACAGCAAATAGGAGGACATACATAATAGTTGCTTGAAGTGCTTGAAGATCATATTATTTATTCACAAGGAACATGATGTTCTGAAATTAATGAAAATATCAACTTTCCTAAGCTGTTTTCAGAGTAAAGCTCAGAATTTATTTTAACTCTCATTAGTTTGCTTTTGAATTTTTCATCTGATTAACAGGATGGAAGAAAATTTGATTCAGACAAATCTAAATGGTTCAGAAATAAATCAATGTAGCAGAAGCAATGGAAAGTACCTGTGGTGTGGTAGGGAGCACACATGCCTCGTGACGCGGAGGGGTTCTCCGCCGGCCATGTCATCTTTGCTTGAGGAGGATAGTCTCTTTTCTCAATATGAGAGTGAGACAAATTTTCATTCAGGCAAAAATACAAGAGTGAGGGTATCGGTGGCGGCGCGAGCGGGAGGGATCGGCACATCGGCGGTGCACCTTGAGTCCTTGACGACGGAGGATTGAAGGCGGCAGCGACAGCGGAAAGGAGGGATCAGGGCATGCTGCCCACGGAGGTGGAGGAGCGACGCTATTATCTTGATGTAGTAACTGTTTAACATGGATAAAACTTGGTTTATCTTAAAGAAAACAAAAGGATTCCCAAAAAATAGAAGCATATGAAGGTGAAATGCTGAGCATACGTTTGCTATTTTGTAGCTGGGCCAAAAGGAGGAGGAGTCGTAGACAGGCCGCGGCGTCGCGTCGATGGAGGCGCTGGGTGTCGGCGACCGGCCTCCGCAGGTACGGGAGAAACGAACGCGGGCGAAGGAGATGCAGCGCGTGCTCTGCGGGGGGCTCCGACTGCGCCGCGTCAACCGGCGGCGCGAGGTGGGGAGGGAGTGGAGGAGCCCGACAAGGCGATGGATGCCCGCGTCCGTCCCTGCCTGGTCGCCGCGGGGGGGACCTAGGTCGGCAGCGGCGCGGCGGCGGACCTGCGAGGCGGCGCGAGCGCAAGGGAGTGAGCGGCAGGCAGCGATTAGGGTAGGCGATGCGCGAGGGAGAGGTGCGGTGGGGCGTGGTTAGGCGGAGAGATTATAGGGAGAGAGATCGCGGTTTAGAGGGTGAATCGCGGATGGGAGAAGGTGGGAGCGACGTGAGGCGTTGGATCTGTGAGAGGGCATCCTGACCGATCAACGAGGAATGAGGAATGTAACATTGTGTTGGTGAATTATAGGGTAGATCAGTAATCAGCCATAACATGTTTTGTCGAGCTCACAAGATTGGAATCTCCCGCTAGGGAATCAATTTTCAACTGTAATTTGCCCCGCTTTCTGCGGTGAGATTTGCAGGTGCGTAATATGTAATTCACCATTTTCATCGCTCATCGCACTCTTGCTCATTTCACCCCATTGTCCGGTGCAAAGTGGCAAAGCATAGTATAGGAGATAAACAGACATGTCTGGCATTGAAGGGGCGCCCACAGCCGCCGACGCGCGGGGCTCGGGGTGGCGGGAGGAGGGGACGGCGGAGGGCGGCGCTTGGGGCGGCGGAGGGGATGCTCACAGCCAGCGTAGCTCGGGGAGGTGGAGGGGGCAGCGGGCGGAGCTCCGGCGGCGGAGGAAGCGCCCGCAGCTACCGCCGCGCGGCTCGTCAAGGCGCTGGAGCCATCCGCTGTCGTCAGCGCTCGAGCCGCAACCGCCATGATTTGAGAGAGAGAGAGAGAGAGTTGGGAGAGGGAAAGAGAGAGTGGAGAGATATCTGACAGGTGGGTCCCTTCGTTTTTTAATTAAAAAATTACTGACTGGACTGCCACGTAGACCAAAACCACTTAGAAAACTGCTCGGGGGGGTTTTCATCCGGTATCGATAGTTGAGGGTGAAAAACGTCCGGTTTTCATGTTTATGAGGGTAATTCATACTCACCCAATAGTTCAGGGGGTAATTCATACTTTTTCCCATTAGATTATCTGAATACAAGAAAGTTGAGCATCCGAGACGTGTACCGTCCATTTCATAGTTTTCTTTCTTTTTCTGTCCCAAATTAAACGCGAGAAAAATTTCTAATCTTTTAACATGATGATGAATACTAGTCCATCCAAAAAAACCTCAATCCTAGCAACGAATCTGGACACGCATATGTCCAGGTTCGTTGTTAGGATTGAATTCTTTTTTGGATGGAAGGAGGGGTTAGGACAGACGAACAGTGCAAAATTGCAGAAAAGATGTGCTGCAGCAGCGAATCAAGAAGAGGAGAAGGGGTTGTACGAACCCTGAGACATAGTCGAAACGGCGAGGACCTTTGCGATTTTCGTATTCAATCCATCGTTGCACGATCCGTCGCCGCTCGTTGAGGGGCGGAGGCTGCTCGCCGCCGTCGCAGCCGTCCCAGTGCAGCAACGCTGGCGGCCGGAGCAGGTTAACCTCGTGCTCCGCCTTCCGCTCCAT